GCTGCGGCGGGAGGAGGAGCTTGAGGAGGGGGGGGCGTCGGTACGATCATGAGCGCACATTGTCTTGAAACAGCTTCCGGTGATTTCTAGTAATTCTGGCATAACTCTTGTGTTTGACGCTAAGATGCTTTGATTTCTTGAGATCGTGAATGCATGCGGTGGTGGAGAAGAGGAGGGAGCTTGATTCAAGGAGCGCAAAGGAGTGGTTCGGCTGCTACAGGAACACCAGGTGTTCCCTTCAGGCTATATCTCAATTATTGTTGGAGAACGGCTCAAAGGGTGGGTGGTTACCCTAATGAGAAGGGGTTATCCGGACGAATCTAGCCATAGGCGCATGGGTAGGGTGGGTGGTCTCCGTGACCTGGCATGAAGCGCATGCAGTACAACAACCGGATATGCGCTAGCCTGCGGCCGCCTGTTATAACCAAACTTTTCAGTCAAATGCGGTGTGGTACAGCAGAGAGTCACATCTCACACACCGGGCAATCCGAGATACTGTAGTAAACTAGATTTGACGGTCAGCCGCTTCCCCTCTCACCCCCCAGATTGACCCTCAAAGTACCCCTGGTTGCCTCCAACCCCTACACTACGCAGGCTACGCCCTTTGACTCGAGCACAGTACCCCTCATGTCTCATTGCAAGAACCGAACGGGGGACCCCTCCACCCCCTCCCCACCCCTACCCCCACCCTCATTCCTCGATCGCACACACGGGATCGACTGCAGCAAAACCATGTGCGCTCATGATCGTACCGACGCCCCCCCCTCCTCAAGCTCCTCCTCCCGCCGCAGCAACAAAACCTCCAACCTCACGCTCCCCTACATCCAGAGCCTCTTCGTCATGCGTCAGAAGGAAGCCGCCGCTCTGCTGGTACGTCCTCTCTCCTCCCCCTTGCCAAGCTTGCTTTGTGCGTGCTGTCGCTGTAGACGCCTGGTATGCCTGCGAGGACTGACCGGGGTGGCTTGGCAGGGCTTCTCCAACACGACGATGAAGCACGTGTGTCGGAGGCTGGGGATCAGCAAGTGGCCCTACTCCCGAGTCCGGCCGAGAGCCTCGACCATCGTCGCCGCCAGCGACGATGAGCGTGCGAGACAAGGGGTCGACGACGAGAGCGAGGGAGGAGGCGGGGGAGGCAGCGATGAGGGCGGGGAGGAGGATACGGGAGGGCTTGAGGGGCAGGGGGGCTTGAAGGAGGAGAGGGGGAGAGGGGCATGGGCAGGGAGCAGGAGCTTGTCTACGCGGGAGTGGCTGGAGGAGGCGCTAGAGCATGTGCAGTGCGAAGCATGCTAAATCAACGCGAGAAGGAATGTGTTTGAAATGCTAGGATGGAATTACTTGTAGTCCAGAGGCGGATACTTCAATCCTTCGGATGAAAGATTGCGTCGGCCATGCGAATTCACGCGGCAATTGTAGACAGTCACATGGAGGAGGCATTATGGGAGTGTGTTGGGTCCTTTGCCTGTTGGAGGGAGCCTGCTGTAAGAAGTATTCGAGCGAGATCGCAAGCAACACGATGCGGGGAAGTAATTCCGTCAAATAGCGGGGAAGTGATTTCATCAATTAGTCAGAATATGTCAGGGCCTGGGCCTTGCACTTTGCTGGATACCGGCTCACGAAGTCAGGCTTCCTGGTGCACTCAAGTTCGTTAATCAGTGCTTCCCGACCGTCTCCCGAGGCATTTGAGATCAGAATCGATCCTGGAGTGTTTTGAACTGTTGAATTGTACAAGTAAGATTTTGGAATGAATAAGAATGATCGGGATCGATGCTTTCGTGAACTGAATTCCAACTTGCCAGTATGTGTGAAGAGAAGCGAAGGCAGGGACAAGAAGGACTTGTGACATGGCGTCATTTGAGTCCGACAAAATCTCCTGTGGCGGAGCGGCAGAGATCAACCTTTCAAGGCAGTGTTGCAGTTTCGAGGTTGCAATGAAAGTATCACTGTACACAGCATCCTTGAAAAGTGAGCAATGATAGTCGCCTCTTTCAATGCAATACGGACGGTACGTCACAGATGTTCGCTTGACCATGGCATGCTCTTATTCCCAAGAATCACATGCACTTATATTCTGAAGTGAGATGTCTATTTTCCAGTCTGACTCTGAGAGAAAAAGAAACCAAAAATCGTTTCCTCTGTCTCCAGCAAATGTGTTTCAAATAATGAAAGACAACTTCCTCTGACTTCCGTCCAATCCCTGTTGTGAACTCTCAAAACCTGTGCAAGTCCTAGCCGACAGCACTAGTCTGTCGTGCTCGCTGTGTTCTAGTAAACGCAGTGATTGCTCTTGTGCTCTCGCTCATTCCGGAAGGTTATGTGTAAAACCTCTGGCAGTTCCAATTCTCGAAAAGTATTTATCGAAACAAATCGACATGTTCGGGAAGCAAGGATTTCCGCCTCAGTGCAGGAAGTCGTGACGGTCGCGCTCAAACTCGGCAAACAACGTATGAACGCCAAGAAACATTGAGCCGACAATTCATCAAGATGAATTCATCCAGACAGAGATATAGGACATAGTGGTAGAGGTGGGAGAATGAAGATGAATTCATCCAGACAGAGCGATTGGACATAGTGGTAGAGGTGGGAGAATGAAGATGAATTCATCCAGACAGTGCGATTGGACATAGTGGTAGAGGTGGGAGAATGAAGATGAATTCATCCAGACAGTGCGATTGGACATAGTGGTAGAGGTGGGAGAATGAAGATGAATTCATCCAGACAGAGCGATTGGACATAGTGGTAGAGGTGGGAGAATGAAGATGAATTCATCCAGACAGAGCGATTGGACATAGTGGTAGAGGTGGGAGAATGAAGATGAATTCATCCAGACAGAGCGATTGGACATAGTGGTAGAGGTGGGAGAATGAAGATGAATTCATCCAGACAGAGCGATTGGACATAGTGGTAGAGGTGGGAGAATGAAGATGAATTCATCCAGACAGAGCGATTGGACATAGTGGTAGAGGTGGGAGAAGGACAAAAGGTTTCTTCCTCAGGTGCTGCTCTTTCTCATTCCCGAATGTTGCGTGTACAGCAAAACCTCCTCCTTCCAGCGGTCCATACAGGGAGAACCCAACATACTTGCTCTACCGCTTCCGTTGGACCCTCTAAGCGCAGCATCCACATGTTCAGTCAGTCTCAAAACCTTCCTTCTGTCACGGCCTCTGTGCCTCAAATGTGATTTCTCCGAGCAGCATTCGCACTGCACATGCTCTAGCGCCTCCTCCAGCCACTCCCGCGTAGACAAGCTCCTGCTCCCTGCCCATGCCCCTCTCCCCCTCTCCTCCTTCAAGCCCCCCTGCCCCTCAAGCCCTCCCGTATCCTCCTCTCCGCCTTCATCGCTGCCTCCCCCGCCTCCTCCCTCGCTCTCGTCGTCGACCCCTTGTCTCGCACGCTCCTCGCTCGGCTCTCGGGGGGGGTCAAGGCCTTCGGCGACGATGGTCGAGGCTCTCGGCCGGACTCGGGAGTAGGGCCACTTGCTGATCCCCAGCCTCCGACACACGTGCTTCATCGTCGTGTTGGAGAAGCCCTGCCAAGCCACCCCGGTCAGTCCTCGCAGGCATACCAGGCGTCTACAGCGACAGCACGCACAAAGCAAGCTTGGCAAGGGGGAGGAGAGAGGACGTACCAGCAGAGCGGCGGCTTCCTTCTGACGCATGACGAAGAGGCTCTGGATGTAGGGGAGCGTGAGGTTGGAGGTTTTGTTGCTGCGGCGGGAGGAGGAGCTTGAGGAGGGGGGGGCGTCGGTACGATCATGAGCGCACATTGTCTTGAAGCAAGCGTTAGGGATTGACGCTTCGAAGCGCAAAGTGGAGGAAAGTTTGAAGAAACTTGGGCGATGGCAACGGGGCTCGAAGGGTAGGTTGTGAGGGTCTCATAGGAGGGGGTTTCCCTTGCCTCAGTAGTAAACTATACCCGTATGGGACATGAGGGGTGCAGAATCAAAGGACGTAGTCCGTAGGTAGCACCACAATAGGGATAGTACCGGGTACTTCATGGTGAGCAACAGGACTCGGCAGGGGGTGGGGTTGTGGGGATGGTAGTCGACCTCTCCGACTTTACCCCTATGCCAATAAAAGCCCTACAACCCCTCGGGAGTCGATGAGTCGGACCTTGCAAGCACACGTGCGGTCAACTTGACTCCTCAGTGACTCCAAGTGCGGGCCGACCGTTCACGGTTCCGATTTCGAACGGCCGCGCCCGGCCGTTCACTCCGGGCCCGGCCCCCGGGCCCGCCGGCCCCGGGCCCGGCGAGCGCTGACTCAGCCGTGCGGCGCCGCCGGCCCCGGTGTCAGGGCCTGTGTGCCACCCGGCGGTGACTTGACTCCCACTGCCAGTGCCTCTTGCGCTTTCTGTGGTGGCTGGCCGCGGGCGGATCGCTCGGCCGGCGAACAAGGCCATAGCGTTGTCGGGTCAAGGAACTTGCTGACAATTGGGATTTGTACCAGATCCAGGCGTTTTTCAGTACAAAATTGTGTGTGAGTAAAAAATCGAAGGATTGGAAGGTTTGCCAGGCCCTGGAAACCGGCGGCAGCCGCTGGATGGTGACCGGGTCTCTCGCCGGCCTCGAACTTCCGAAGTTCCGGAATTCGGAAAGTGATAAGTTCGCCGCCGACGCCGCTCACTGCCGCGCCTGTCACGTCGGATCCGACTTGCAAACGCATCCGGCCGCGCGCCCCGGGATCTCAGTTCGTCACTGAGTCACTCAGTGCGGCGGCTCAAGGCCTCCGACGACGAGTCGGTCTGTCGGGGGCCTACGGCGGCGCTGCCGCATCATCCATAGCGTTGCCGTTCCGTATCCTTGTCGGATCAGTTAACCAGGGTGGTTCTCATAGTAGTTTTAGTCAAATTCAAGCGGCAAGAGAAAATTGACCTAAAAATGTTGGCTCCGTCAATTTATGTACCTTTTTCGTTGCCAGGGCTGCCGGGCCATCCAAGACGAGAAGGGCAATGTTGAGCAAAACCTTCCTCTATTTGATATGAATAGGCGTGTATAGTTGACTAAATAATCATGAGGAGGCTCGGGGTAGGTATTCAAATGATTTGAATCTTTCCGCCTCCAGCCCGTGTTGAGGGGTAGGGGGTAGTGCAAACTTCTCGTATCAATCTAAAACACTTGTAAACGACCTCACACTTGCCCCGTCTCTTCCCTATCCCACTACTCCCAATGTACTCAGGGACTGTTTGCTCAGCTGCTGAGCGCAGTCAAGGACCATGGCCCCTCAATGCTAACTCCTGAAACTGCCAGGCAAGTACTGAGATCAAACAGCTCAATTCTTGGCTGAGAATCACACCTATAGTAGGTTGAATGTGTAAGGTATGCATCTCATCGAAATTTGCACTTGCGTACCAAAGCACTCATCAGCTATAGGTGATGGTTGTTCACTTCCAGAAGAAGGGAAACATGAAGGGAACCGATCAGAGAAGCAACCTTCGAAGACATGAAGGAAATTCGATTCTCCTTGTTGTGTTGACGCCCTAGGTTCCTTTACCTGAATGCTTCGTCGGTTGAATAAGAAACATATTTCAAGAGACTTCCTGTTGCTTTGCCATGATTGCGTTTTTTGAGGCTTCTCCCAACCTATTGTAATATGGCGGTGTCATTTGTGAGGAGGTGAGGAGTTTGAGAGGCTGGGGGAAGGAGAGGGGAGGGGTTGGAAGGGAAATGGACGCCTGGGAGGCCAGGCTAGTTGATATGCCTGATCGCTGCGAGAGGAGATGCCGGAGGAGAGACCGTGTTTACTCAAGACCACTAGCGAGGAAGGCAGGAGGGCGAGGAGGACATGAGAGGAGAGGAAGGAGAAAGCTACGGGTAGAGACGGTTTACTTGACAGCACTAATGAGGAAGGGATGCTTCAGAGCCTCCAGTGCTGTAATCCTCGTGCGGGGATCGATGTTGAGGCAGCAGTTGAGGAAGTCCCAGATCGCATGTTTCTCATCCACCTCCAGCCAGTCCTTGCATCCCGCATGCGCGCCCAGGGAGCTTGACAAGGTCCGCCATGTTTGCTTGAAACCGCGGGCATAGCTGAGATGCAGTTCCAATGGTGGAATCTGAATGACATCAAGTTAGCAACCTCAGGCCTCCCGCCACCATATCACCCTCATCCTCATCCTCTTGATACAACAACGCCGACGACAACAATTTTACCTTAACGTCGAGGAGCTTCCACACAGCATCAATGCTCTTGATGTACATGCGCAAGCTGCTCAGACAGTCAGACAAGCGCACTTCCAAGGTACACAAAGAGCGTACCCGTAGATCTCCATCGTTGCCGTGACTATGTCGTTATACTGGAACCATTGGAACTGTGTCGTGCGGCACAGCAGGGTAAGCAGTACTACCCCAGCAGCCCACACGTCCACTGCTGTGGTCTGGCACTGCATGCCCATGAGCACTTCGGGCGCTCGGTATCCCCGAGTTCCCGCGCGTTTGACTGGACGTTCGAATTTGACCCCTGAGTTCCTCACTGTCACCGATGCGTTCGTCTTGCTGACGCCCAACATGATCCGCCTCTTCGCCATCTGCTGCGCCATCTCTAGCTTCTCCTGCTCCTTTTGATTCCGCGAGGAGCGAGAGCTGGCCGTAGAAACCTCACAGGGCAAGATGTTGCCGATGCTGCGGCCTGATGACTGCATTTGTTTCTCTGCCAGCCCAAAGTCCACAAGCAAGTACTTCTTATTCCTTCTGTCGTAGAGGAAGTTATTCAATTTCACGTCTCGATGTATAATAAATGTATAATGTATAAGACAGTTCTTGCTCAAGACCGAGTTTAACTAAGTAATGCACACTGTGACACGAAACCACTGAGAATTGAGGCAGCACTGCACATGAGAGACTCCCGACTGTATCAGCGGCTAGAATATGAAACTCAAGCATCATTGCAACGCCGCCGCTGTTCAATCCGATGACACGGCCCGGCGGACCGGGTACGGCCCGGTACCGCCGGGCATTGCCGCCGCGTGGGGCCGCCGCCTGGCTCGGAACTTGACTCTCACCGTTCAACGGTTGACTCACCGGCTACCGTAGCCTTGAAGCCTCAGAGGTCCCGGAGAGTCCGGCTCGCCCGGCCGGGCGGCGGTCGGACCTTGAGTTTTCAGCCTGTGTCACAAGTTCAATTAACTCAGCGGGCCCGGGCTATCTGATCGGACTGGCCGCATGGCTGGCATGCTGATCCCGGCATTAATCAGCAGTGCCGACGGTGCCACGGTGACCGTCTCACCGTGAGCCTCCGCCGGGCGGCCGGGCGGCCGGGCCGGGCGGCGGAGCCCGAGCCCGGTGGCAGTCACTCAGCCGCCCGCCGGCTGAGTGCCGCGCCAGCCCGGCGCTGCCATCGGACTCAGTGACTTGGCCTTGGAACCGTCACGGTGCCTGCTCAGTTGCCAGCGCCGGGGCGGCCCCGGTACTACGGTAGCCTGAGTCGCCGTGTGTCAGACCGTACACAACTTGAACAGTCGGAGGTCAACATAACTTAACATAACATGGCATGCCAGGCTTCAGTCGGAACTTGGAACACTCAGTGCGCCCGAAATGATTCAGGGCCACAAAAAATATTTCACTGTGGAACAACTTGAAAATTGAGGGGGTGTTCGGCCTGAAATCTTTGTGTGTCACTGCCGCGCAAGCAAGTCCAACCTACTAGCATGGAACAACTTGAAAATTGAGGAGGTGTTCGGCCTGATCTTGGAGACGGCGAGAAGTTCAGGGTATTGCGTCTCATCGGTAGACGAAGCTCAGCGACTCAGATGGAAGTGGGCTTTGACATACGTCTGGAATTAAGGAATCGACGAGCCTGAGGGTCTGGTGAGTGAAAACTTGGGGTGAGGAGGACACGTGTCCAGGGCGCTGTGCATTGTACTTGGTCACTGGAGTCACGGTTGCAAGGGACTGAAGGGGAGGTGACTGCTGTGAATAAAGGAAGTGTTGGTGGTGTTGTGTGGTTCTTCTGAGAGTTCTATCATCATCAGTGAAGGTGTTAGAGACTGCACAGCTGTGTATGATCGTTGAGGTGAATAAGGTTGGGGTAAGGATCTCAGGTGTACTGAGAGATAGTGTTTGGTGGATCTCAGTGGGTTAAATAGAGTCTGGCCAGTGAACGGTGGAGGTTGATTCGATTAGCCGGGGGTGTTCGGCCTGAAATCATTGTGTGTCACGCTCCCGGAGTCCAAGTTTCAAGTTGTTCCATATAGTTTGGAGCAAGTCCAACCTACATGGAACAACTTGAAAATTGAGGGGGTGTTCGGCCTGAAATCATTGTGTGTCACGCTCCTCCAAGTTTCAAGTTGTTCCATATAGTTTGGAGCAAGTCCAACCTACATGGAACAACTTGAAAATTGAGGGGGTGTTCGGCCTGAAATCATTGTGTGTCACGCTCCTGCGGCCTGAAATCATTGTGTGTCACGCTCCTCCAAGTTTCAAGTTGTTCCATATAGTTTGGAGCAAGTCCAACCTACATGGAACAACTTGAAAATTGAGGAGGTGTTCGGCCAGAAATCATTGTGTGTCACGCTCCTGCGGCCTGAAATCTTTGTGTGTCACGCTCCCATCGCAAGTCAGCTTTGATGGCCATTATGGCCTTCACAGGCGTGGCTGGCCCTCCGAAGCTCAATCATGATGCATCGCCAATACGATATCAAATATCAAAATAAAAAATATCAATGTTGAAAGTTTCCCGCCACTGTGAACTCTGCGAAGCCGTACAGATATGAGGATGTGCAGCGTTTGACAGAGCAAGACAAGTCAGGTGAGCATTATCTCTTTTTTTCATCGAAATCATCACGGGAAGAGATCCAAATGACGTGTTCTTGATGCAGGTTGGAATGATTTGCAGTCTTTGGCAACTTGTATGAGATTGATGAACGGGTGAAGACTTTGGCAAGTGCCCAACCAATATTACAAACCGGTATCCAGGAGTACGTAGACGTACCAGTAAGCCGCCCAGCATACAAAACTCTCGAGACAATGGCTGCATACGAAGGGGGTTTCGACACATCGCAGAACTGTCCCGATGTGAAAAGGTTGTGACATGAAATGGGCACAAACAAAGATAAGTTCAGGACTCGGGAGTCGATCAGGTCTAGGCAAAATATTGACATGGTCATCTCACTGCATGGAAGAACATGCAAAACTGAAGGAAAAGCTCAACGGAAAGTTCTAAATGAACAGATACAGCGCATTTTAGCAGTCACGGTCGGAGCAGCTCGATGCTTGAAACAAAGATGATCCTCAGTACAATCGAATGATGACAAGTAAGTCCCGTGGTTCGTGAAGGATTCTTCATCCAATTCTTAAGGATGTGTTGGAACGATGAAACATTTTGCAAATCACCAATTTCATCACACTGACTGATGCATCATGTAAATATTACTGGTGTGAACTTGCATCAGATTCTGTTCATCGGATGAGCCGCTACCAAGCAGTTGATGTCACAGCAAACAAGAGAGCCGTTTTGAAGATGTTGATATTCCTGACTGTAGAGCATTCAAGATGTGGCCACATGTCACATGCTTCTTGGTTAACGCAGATACACCCTCGCCAGGCAAAAGATGGAACGTCTTCAGGATTACAGGGAGGTCGGTTGTGCTTGTACCCTGATTGTAACTCTTCTAATAAAGATATGATAACCTGAATGTGCAATTCTGTTTGTTGATTCACAGTGTTTGCGACTCGATTGCAATCATCGAGTGCTTGCTCTGTTGAACAAGGCACTCCTCTGTAGAGCCATGCGACAAGAACACTACAGTTGCACGGTAGCATTGCGACACCAAGACAGGATTGATCCGATAAACGTCTCATTTATTGATACGCAAAGGCATCATCTGCACATTGCTTCATTTCTGACTAGGTTTCTGTGCAATCGAAATCCTTGTGAAAATATCATGACAGAGGAAAAATTTGAAGCGAAACGGAAAAATCATCGAAATATGATCATAGATATAGTGATTCATGATCAACAACGGTTCTCTACAGTCATCTATGCGGGCAGGAACAGTCATCTTCTGTGCAAACGTCTCTTCATGTATCGTTGAACGGTTGAGTGCATGTAAGACTTGCCTCCATAGAAAGGTGAAGTGCATGAATCCTGACTGTAAGACTAGAAGAATTGAAAGCAAGTGATGACATGAGAACACATATCTAGACACAAAAGTCGCTCAAGGTACAGCTGGATACAAATTTCTCACAAATCACAGTCATGCATTTGAGCGCAACGTGCAACCTACGGCAATTTGAATAAAGGGTCAATCAGAGTTGATTCTGTTCAATGGTGTATCGATTATCAATTCCTTACCTGATCATAAAAATTTCATCTTGTCTTCGAAGAATATTTGCAAGTACACCCGCGGATTGTTTGAACCTAGGGTGCATATTCCATTGCAGGATGGATGATTCAAACCTTGGCCCAACCTGTAGAGTTGAGAAAGAAGCTCGATCATCTCTTACAGGTATGATATGAGATCTTCATCTCATTTCTATCTCAGTTGGGTTGGATTCGAAGTCTCTCAATATCAAAGTTCATCCTGGTGAGTCAGGAAGGCACCATTTCATCGCTTCTTGCTCGTCCAGGGAGAGGGGGCTTGGGGAATGGGAAATGGGTGTTACCCCCACCCCCTATTGTAGAGTTTCAAACTCGTTCAAAGGTGGGTAGTTGAGGGTGCTCCATACCCACCCCACCACCCAAAATGACTCAAACGGAGGGGTTCTCGGATCCGAAGGAGTCCCGCCTCCATCACCCCCTCTCATTTGAATTCAAGATGGTTCAGGCCGACCCCACATACAGGCTTGCAGTTTTCTTATGTATGCCCATATGATTTGATCGGACAGGCCCCAGGTTCAAGGGATGAAGCAATTCACCAGCATGCTTGAAGATTTTTCATGGGAGTGGGGTTATACTTGTACCGGATGTGTACAATACATAGGGGAGAAACCCGAATGGTACCAAAAGAGTACCAAAGTCACATGGTTCGGACTGTACTAACTGGTACCAAGAAATTGTACTCAAGAAGACCCTACCCCTGAAAAAGTTCTGCTTGGCTCTTCGTGATTTGAATTCGGAACACGGTCGGAAGACCCACCCCGCCCCCACATGAGGCGTGGTATGCGTGGATTTGAATCTACCACCCTCACCGCGAAACGTTTTAGAGCTCCAAGGTCAATTGAGAAAGGCAACGCTATGCGATGATCGCGGGCGGCCCGTGCCGCATTCGGAAGTTCCGGTATGCGTCTTCCGATGATTCCGAATGATTCGGGGGCCTTCGGCCGGCGGTGGCCACAGCAACCACGGCCGACATCCGACGACCGGTGCCACAGTGGCCGGGCGGCATCCCGGAGTAGTAAGCCCGCCGTTTGGCCTCACGGTTACGGTGCGACAGTGTCAGGATCAAGCCGGCCTCCTCGACTCTCTCCTGATTGGCACGGTCCTCGTACTAGCCTGATTTTTAACTTAACTTTGCGCAAGTTGAGTAAGCCTCTTCCGATTCAGTGAAGTTTCCGAAGTTCGGAAAGCCTTACCGGTACCGTACGGTACGCCGAGTGCGGCCGCCGCCAGCCTCCGTAAGTGACTGAGGCGACTCACTGTAAACTTTGAGTGACGGTTAGGCGACTGCCACTGATGAGTCATGCCACAGTGAGTCATCAGTGATCACGGTGATCGGCGCGGCCAGGCTTTGATCATCTGAGGCCGCCAGTCGGCCCACGCTCCGCCGTGAGTGATTAGTTTAGCAAGTTCGCCTCAGGCGCGCTGCCCCGGAGGGAGTGGTATGATGAAATGGAAAATAGGGGGTGGTAGATGGGGTGGGGGTATGAAACCAGGGAAAAATTGCAGACAAGTACGGGTGGTGGCAGAGCAGGCGACTGTAGAGGGGGGTTGATTCAGAAACGGACGGGTGGTGGTAGTACGAGAAGTCAGGGGGTGGGGGCTCTGAGGTGAATCTCATCAAACCCGTGGTTCAGATATAGAAAATGGGGGTGGAAAGGTGGAAGGGTGGTCGGACGAAGTTTCCAGTGGTTGAATGCGGGCAAGGGTATGATGAAGGAGCCGGAGAAGTGCGAGGAGGAGAGCAGACGAGGATGCAGATGCTGAGATGCAGATGATGGAGATGCTGATGTTGGCGCTGTTGGTGCCAGTGATTAAGCAGTGACTGTGATGGTCCGTATCATGATGGCGGAAAGAGATCCTCTAGTTTGTATTTGCGAGTGAACTACTCTGTAATCCGGGCATCATTTCTCGGAGAACTGATGCAAAGGGAGAGGGAGGATCTTCTTGGTCTTAAGATAGCTTGGACACGATAGGCGGTACCGTGACGACACTTCAAATGAAAGTTCTCGTTGCGATGATCTGAGAGGCTGCTTGTTCGATGTCGTTAGCTTGCTTCTTGCCGAGCGTACAAGACGTGCGCGTGTCCAGCTGTGGTGTTGCTCTTGCCATCGGGAGCACTCATGTACGGCCCCTGACCTCGAAAATTGCAGATGGGAAGCAGGATGAGGAAGGAGGAACTGCCGAAACCCGAGTTCCCAGAAGAGTTCCATGCAAGGTGCGCTGCATGCGATGGACACTCCTCCTGCTCACTTGTTCCGACCTGCAGCGTCGAGGAGGCGAAGGAGAATGTGGAGAAGGACTTCTACGTCTACCTCAACGTCTCTCCGGACTGTGGAGAGGATGAGATCAAGGCTGCTTACAAGCGATTGGCTATGATCTGGCACCCTGACAGGTGAAGTGCACCACATCCTCCCTGGTTGCTGCGCCGACATCTCGAGATTGTTTATTGCTCGCCATTTTGACTTGTTCCTGTCCAATGCCTCTTGTTTGCCCTCTCTCACGCTCATCCTTGTTGCTTCATCTCTCTTCACTCTCTGGCCTTCCTTCGCCCTCCCACCTTCCTCCATCTACAACCTTCCTCCTCCATCTACACCTTCCTGCTCCATCTACACCTTCCTCCTCCATCTACACCTTCCTCCTCCATCTACAGCCCATCGCGCGGCTCATCGCTCCCCGCAGGCACAAGGACGAGGATTCGCGGGCGATAGCTACGGCAAAGTTCGCCAAGTTGACGCACATTCACGACACGCTGACCGACCCCAAGAAGAGAAAACTCTATGATCTTTACGGGGAGAACGGGCTGACCTCAGGGCTGGAAGTAGGGGCGCACCTGAAGACAGCAGAGCAAGTGAGGGAGGAATACATGAGGCTGCTGGCCAAGAAGAATCAAAAGAGGATCGAGAGCAAACTCGGCGTCACGGGAGTCCTGCAAGCTAACCTGCAGCTGAAAGACTACCTCGGGTCTGCCACCTCCTCGTCCTCGTCTTTGTCCTCGTCCTTGCTCTTGCTCTTGTCCTTGTCCATGTCCTTGTCCTCGTCCTCGTCCTTGTTCCAGTCTCATTCTCAATTGTCCACGTCATGCTTTCACCCTTGTCTTCCCTCCCTTTGTCTACTTCCTTCGCTCCTTCTTCCTGCTCCTACTCTCAACCTTTCTTCACGGACGGGAGCTCCCACAAGCTGGTAACGGCGAGGGCAGGGGCGTGTTGGACCCGGACAGTGCAGTGGTGGTCGCGTATGCTGGAGAGCCGAAGAGCACCAACCGGAAGAGTGTGTTTCAGGTTGACAGGAGGGAGGGTCCGTGTCAGGAAGGCTCCTGACCCCGCGTCTCCTGCACAGTCAACCATGATAGCTGAGCGTTTCAGGACCAACCTCTCCAAGAAAGACACCTTCGAGCTGCAGGTGTGTTTCTGTTGAAGTCCGTGCGATCCTGCATCGACGTTTGCGCAGGGTCAAATCCTTGCCAAAAATGGGAAGGGGGCAGGAGTGATATCTATGATCGCTCACAGACAATTCTCTCGCAGATCAGGAGCCAAAGTACTCCATTTGCTTTCCCTCTTCCTCCTCCTCCTCCTCCTTGTCCTCGTCCTCCTCCTCTCCACGCAACTCCTCCTTCTGCTTTCTTTCACCTTTCCCCCTCTGGACTTCTGCTCTTGTGATTCCTGCTACTTCCTTGTTCTTGAGGACAGCTTTGTCCCCCCCTCAACCCCCCCCCCCCTCCCTCCACCTTCATTACAATATACTCTTCTCCATGCTCTCGTTTCTTCCCTCTCCCTCCTCTCTGCCCCCATCTGCCAGCTACTCGGATCGCTTCCTCTTCTCCCTCTTCCTCCGCCCTAATCTCCTGTAAGCGCTTTCTCACTCCGCCTGTCTTCAGATCAGCGGGCAGATCGGTCTGGGATACGACAACCTGCCTCTCGCCTTGTCGACCTTCCGCAAAATCTCAGATGACTGCATTGCCAAACTTTCTCTGCAGCTGGCTGGTGCTGTCGCTCAGCTCAAGGTCAGCTGGTCCCTCCCTCCGTGGCCTTCGACCTCCTCTTGTTCTCCTTCTTACCTTGTTCACGGACTCTTCCTCTGCTGCACCCTCTGCCTCTCCGTTCCTTTGCTGCTGCTGCTGCTGCTGCTGCTGCTTTCTACCTTCTTAGTGCCCTCCCTCCTTTCTTTCTTGTATGATTTTCTCTTCCCGAGTCCCTCTTCTTGAAATCGGTTTTTGGAAGCTTGCTCCTGTCTTCCTCTTGTGGTACTCTTGTCTGTTTGCAGTTCACCTCCCCACCTCTACTTGCTTTTATCGTGAATGTTGGAGTGTTCTCCATCTCTTTTGAACCTGGCTTGTTATTTCTCGTCTCTGACATCTTTTTAGTGTGCTGTCATCCGAACACTGACAGCTCGGACGACTGGGAAACTTCAGTACATCCTGGGAGGAGAAGATTGGGGGATCAGGGTAATCCTATCATGAGGATGAAGATGAGGATGAGGATGAGAATCCGGATGATGATAATGACGATGACGATGATGATGATGATGACGATGATGACGATGATTGAGATGACGACGACGGCGACGATTCAGATCGAAACAATGCCGTGATGAGATCCGACTGATATCTTTGTTTCCTTCAGCTCAAGGGAAATCGACTGGGAGAAGCCACGACAATTAGCGCAAGCATGTTCGTTGGATACAAGATTTACAGGTTGATGCAGAAACACGGAGGCTGAACGGGAGTAGTGAGGGATGATGACGACGATGGTGATGATGATGATGATGATGATGATGGTGATGATGATGATGATGATGATGGTGATGGTGATGGTGATGATGATGGTGATGAACCACGACGACGAAAAAGTTAATGATTACAATTATGATGATGATGGATATGATGATCACGATGATGACGATAGTGATGGAAGTGTCGTAGACCACCGTCGTAAGGGTGATGGAAATGATCATGATGTCATCTACATTTGCAATGGTTTTGTTCGTGCGGAGCGAGAGGCGAGCAATGAGAGGATGTTGCGATGAAAACTCATGATAGGGTGACACTGACGAGCTTGTTGCTTTCTCAGCTTCTCAACGTTGTGGAACAAGAGGCTTTCTCAGAGAACGACGCTGACTTCATTGATCAACATCGGTTACGATGGCATCAAGGTCTCCTTGCTGCAATCCCAGCCAACTGTCCTCTACTGCACTTGTCTTTCTTCTTCACTTCCCTCATGTTTCCTGCATTCTATCTTATCTGCCTGTGATATTTTGGTTTTCCTCCTTGTTACCTCCCTTTCTCTTTTGTAATCTTCTGATTGCCTTGCAATTATTTGTTCCTTTCTTCTTTTCTTCTCTATTCTCCTGTATCCCCTCTCCACTCTCTCCTCTCTTCTTCTCCCCTCCCTCCCTCCTCTCCTCTCCTTGAAACTTCTCCTATTCTTCTCGTCTTGTATCCTCTCTTCTCGTCGTTCTCTCCTCCTCTCTTCTCTAACTTCCTGTTTCACCCCCTTCACCTTCTGTCTTTCTTTGACAACTCTCCCTCACTCCTTGTCTTTAGTGGGACATGGGCTGCCGTCGTCGAATCTCGGGCAACAGCTCCTTATCCTGCAGGTATCTCCTCCTACTGCGGCTCCTTCCTCCCTCTATCGTCTTGCTACCTCATGACCTGACGTTACCGACTCCTCCCCCGATTATTCTCGTCCTCTTCTCAGTCGAGCGAGTCAAACCTGCTCTGCTTATCAACTGCTCGAACGTGTTGCCGATTGTCTATGGAATGTTGTCGAATGCCGCCGTGTGATTTCAAAACCTCTTGTGCGATTTGAATTTGTTCCGCGTGTTTTCAAGTCCCACCTGTCTTCTCTCGTCCCTTATTGCTCATCATGGCCCTGCAGCTGCACCCTGGACTTCCTTAAAGGCGTCACCTTGAAATTTTCTGTACGAATTCCTCCTTCTTCGCCCCCCCCCCCTC